CCCCAAACAGACATATTGTGTAAATTGCCTTTATGTGACATTCCAGGGTAGCCAAAACCAATCTATAATGGTACAAATCAGGGCAAGGCAAAGATTGTATGGAAAGGGCCAAGAGCACTCTCTGGGATGATGAAATATTCTATATCATGTGGGGTGGCATTATATAGTTGTATGTATTTATCAAACTCATGAAATTATGCATTTAAAATCTGTACATTGAGAGTTACATCTAAATTGTACCTCAATAAATAAAATATATGCAGGTGTTTTGTAAGTGGATCAATTGTATACTTAAGCTATATTGAGTCAATTACCCTTATTACATAATTAACCATCACACATTATTAAGTCTTTTAAATATGCACAAAAAACACCAATACAATGTACCAGAACATATGGGGCACAATAAAAGCAGTTCTAAAGAGGAAATTCACAGCTGTGAATATTTACATAAGAAAAACATAGCAAGCTAAAAGAAAAAAAACCCTAATGATGCATTTCAAGAAACTAGAAGAAAGAAAAGTCCAAATCTAGTAAAACGAAGAAAATCATAAAGATCAAAGCAAAAATTAATGAGACTGAAATTATAAAAACAATGTGAAGAATAAAGGAATGAAAGAGCTGGTTCTTTGAAAGAATAAACAAAATAGATGAATCCTTAGCCAGAAAAAAGGAAGAGACCCCTATCAATGTGATTAGAAATGAAAAAGGTGAGGTTGTAATGGACACTGGCAAAATCGAGATCATTAGTGGCTACTATGAAAAATTGTGCTCCAATTGGAGAATCTTCAAGAAATGGAAAAAGTCCAAGACACATATGAATTACCAAAACTGAACTAGGAAGGTATAAAAGTGTGAAACAATCCAGTAACAGGTAATGAAATTGAGGCAGTGATTAAAAAAAAAACACTTATATTCACCAGTGAATTATATAAGACCTATATCTAACTCTAATGCTCCTCAAACTCTTCAATGAAACTTAAAAAGAAAGAGTACTTCCAAACTCATTCTTGAAAGCTAGTATCACCATGATTCCAAAAATTGACAAGGAAGAACCCAACTGAAAAAGAAAACTACAAGTCAATTTATTTAATGAAAATCCATACAAAAATCCTCAGCAAGATACGGGCAAACAAAATGCACCAAATCATCAAAAGGTCATACATCATGACCAAGTGGGCTTCACTCCACAGATGCAAGGATGGTTCAATATACACAAAACAATAAATGTAATACATGACACAAACAAAAGCAAGGACAAAAATCATATGATCATCTCAAAGGACATCGAAAAAGGCTTTGACAAAATCTAACATCCATTCATAATAAAAATACTGGAGAAAATAAATATAAAATTACTTTATAGCAAGTCAATATATTAAATGGGAAAAAGCTGAAAGCTTTTTGAAATATTAGCTCGAGAAATAAGGCAAGAGAAAGAAATAAAAGGGATATACAGGAAAGGAAGAAGTCAAATTATTACTATTATCAGATGATGATTTTTTAAATAGAAGTCCCAAAAAATTCTACCAAAAGACTTATAGAATTAATAACCAAATTCAGTAGTGTTGCAGGATATAAAGTCAACACACAAATATCAAATGCATTTTTCTATGCAGTAATAAACTCACTGAGAAAGAAATTAGGGAAGCAATACCTTTAACAATAGCATCAAGAAAAATGAAATGCTTCAGATTTAACCTAACCAAGGAAGTGAAAGTCCTCTAAAATGAAAAACTACAGTACTCTGAGAAAGGAGATTGAAAAAGACATCAGAAAATGGAAAAATGTCCCCTGTTCTTGGATAGGCAGAACCAATACAGTTAAAATGGCCAAACTTCAAAAACTGTTATACAGATTTAATGCAATCCTGAGATCAAAATACCAATAGCATTACTCACTGAACTAGACAAAAAATCCTAAAATTCGTATGGAACCAGAAGAGACTAAGGATAGCAAAGGCAATCCTGAGCAACAAGAGCAAGGCAAGAGGCATCACAGTCTCAAAATTCAAGTTATATTACAAAGCTACAGCGATTAAAAAAAGAAGAAGAACTTGTGGATAAAAGGAACAGAACAGAGGATGCAGAAACAACTCCAGAAACACTTACCTACCTGATGTTCACTCTCTGATAAAAGGGCCAAAAACTTTCCCCGGAGGAGAGACAGCCTCTTCAGCAAATGGTGCTAGAAAAACTGGCTATTCACATGCCAAAGATTGAAGGTAGACTCATATCTCTTGCCATGTACTTAATGAAAATCAAAATGATTCAAATATCTAAATACAGTATTAAAACAGAAAAACTTAACCTGCTACGAGATAAGGTAGGTAAAACGCTTGAGGTCACAAGCAAGACTTCCTGAACAGAACCCCAGCAGCTCAAGACATAACATCAAGAATCAACAAATGGGACTCTATCAAGTAAAGTTTTTTTACACAGCAAAGAAAACAACCAAGAGGGTTAAGAGACAACCTACAGAATGGGGAGAAAAAACATTTCCAGCTACACTTCAGACAGAGGATTAATCTCTAGAATACATAAAGAACTCCAAAAAAAATTAGACTTTCATCTAGAATAAAAGATTCAATGAAAATAATGAGTAACTGAATAAATCGACATATCTCATAAGAAGTACACGTGGCCAACCAATAAGTGAGAAAATGTTCAACATCACTTGCCATTAGAGAAATGCAAATTGAAACAACACTGAGATTCCATCTTATTCCAAAAAGAATGGCCATCATCAATAATTAAAATAGTAACGAATGTTGGTGAGGCTGCGGAGAAAGAAAGCCTTCTACACTGTTGGTGGGAATGTAAACTAGGATAGCCACTATGGAAATTAGTATGGAGATTCCACAAAAAATTTAAAATAGAAATTCTGTTTGATCCAATACTTCCCAAAAGAGCAAAATACATAATATTATGGTGATACATGCATATCCATATCTATAATAGCAAATTCATAATAGCTAAACAGTGGAAGCAGCATATATGTCCATCAACAGATTAATGGATAAAGAAAATGTGGTATTCATATACAGTGGAGTGTTGTTTTGCTATAAAGAAGGATAGAAATAATGCACCTTTAATACATGTTAAGTTAAATAAGACACACAAATATAAATATTGTATTATTTCTCTTATATGAGGAACCCAAGGTATAAATAAATTAAAGGTCAAGCTAAAAGACAGACATTAGGAAATAAACAGATATATCATTTTAAAGTTGGAAGGGGAACAAGAGATGTTGAGAGCAGGGAGATGGAGGAAGGTAAAGGGATATAAAAAAGGAAGATGTGTCATGTACACGTACCAACTACCAAAAGAGAATGTTTTCAGTCAGTATGTACCACAAACATGTGCTAACAAAAAAAATATATATATGCACAAATAGAAGGGTTGCCTGCAGCAGTAACTAACCCAAAATTCCCCCAGTAAGGATAAGCAACATATTTAATAAGAGAAGTAAACATGATTTCAAATGGCTTGTGCTTCAATTCCTTCTACATGCAAATTGCATAATTCGAAATCTCTGAATTTATAAATTGGAAAGATTAGAAAAATATCAACGGGCATAAATGCAACTAAATACTTAAGGCTAATTTATATTAATGTGGAGGATTAGTTGTAAGATAAGCCTAAACCATTAAATGACTCAAAAATCACTTGAATTTCTAATACTCCACAGAGTCCAAGTGACTCAGTACAAATTTTGGCCCTGCCACCAATATTTTAGGCCCCTGGCAAGCTAAGGGATCCCTCACTGGTTTTCCTAATTCTACTATCTTCCTTTGTTAAAGCTACTGTGGTAATCTTAAAGCACAGCCCGAGTATTTTATGGCATTCATCGCAATCACACTCAGGGTCAGCCTTGAATACCTACCTAGGTAATCAAAGACAGATGCTGCGGTGGCTACAGTCTGCCCTGTCCGATACCTAATCTCAGGACCTTGCGTCTTGGCCTCCCACCAGTACAAAGAGCTCTGCACTGAGCAGCTGAAGGCTCTCCCATTCCCACCATTGGGCCTTGGCTCATGCTGCCTCTCCATTTCAACTTTATATCGTTCACTTACCAGCTCACTTTATACCAGTGAGCTTTCAAAACTCACTTTAACTGTCACCTCTTTTTAAGGAAACTGCTACTTTTCCTGACTCAGAGTAATCCTTTTTCTTATAAATTCTCATCACATTGTGTGGCTGATTGATCATACTCACAATATCTATTCTATATTGTGAAATGGTTTGAATCTAGCATCTGAAAGAAACACATAGTTTCAAATCTTAGCTCCCCAGATAGCAGAATTTAGGTAAATTACTATTTGTTTCCATTCTTCCATTGTTAAAAAATAATCCCTCTTTTGTATGACTGTTCTCAGTAGGAAATTAGTAGACATAAATTACTTAATCTAACACACATTTTAAGATCTTAATAATATTTACCTCCAAACCTGCTGGCTAAAATAGAGTAAGTTCTCTAAGTTGACAAATTATATTCTAAAAATTGAGAGTCTTTGTAAATGCAAAATTTTGATGAATATCAAGATATATCAAAGAGATGGAGGTGAGTAATTCATGATGCTATTTTCAAAATATTGCATAAGTCAGGTTGTAGAAACTACAAAATGGTGAGATTGAATCTTAATTTGAAGAAGGGAGAATCTGGTTCAAAGAGAAAGAAAAAGGAGAAGTAACCCAGGTTACAAACAAAAACAAAAACACATAACAATACCAAGATGTGCACAGGAATAGTCATAGCAACTTTATTCATAATAGTCAAAGACCAGAAACAAATGTTCACTGGCAGGGAAATGAATAAACAAAGTATGTTATATTTCTACAACAGAACACCACTCACCAATAAAGAGGAACACACTACCAAGAGAGTAACAACATGGATTAATTTCAAAATCCTCATATTGAGTGAAGAAAATGAATACAAAACAAGCACACCCAGTATAATTCTACTTACATAAAATTTTAGAAAAGGCAACTCACCTGTCATAAACCATGGGAAGTCAGTTCTACCTGGGGGTTGGGGTAGAGAGTAGGTGGATTACAGCCTTGGGAGGAAGTCCAGGAGGTGGTGCTGATGTTCTGCATCTCGTTTCAGCGGTGGCTTCAAGGGAGTATACATAATTCTGTCAAAATTCATCCAGTTGTATACTTTCAATGGGCATGATTTGTTCTTTACGTCAAGAAGAACCTAAAAGATGAGGTAAAGCTGATTGGGACACAGTATAGTGTCAGTAAGAAATTATCACATTTGTCTGATACTTTCTCTTTCTTCATCAGGGACCCTGGGGTGCAATATCCAGGAAATGCAGCAGACACAGTATCTGGGTCTCAGAGGGATGTTGGAAGAGATTCTTCATGATATTGTGTGATCCTATGGTGTGTGATGGCCCGGGTACAATAATCAGGAAGTTAAGATTCCTGTGTCATCCTAGATTTTGGGTTCTGTGTTCAGCCTGTTTAACTATTTTGTCAGTTATTTGGCTGAACACCTACAAGGGCTCAGCCATCAACTTTGTATTGACCAAACGTTAGGATGTTGGATGAAAGATGAGAATCTAAATCATCTCGACAATTTAGACCAATAGCTTAGATGTAACAAGGTGAAGCTTTACAAGGATAACCATAGAAGAGCTAAGTTGAATCTAAAATTTAGCTTTCCAAGTACAAGACAGAGATAGCATGCCATACCTGCAGGATATTAGCAAAAGCTGTCTTCAGGTTATAATCAACAATAATCTTGATGTCAAACTACAATAAAATGTAACACTTGAAGAAGTTAACATGACTGTGAGTTGCATCAAGAAAGTTATAAGCTTTACTAGAAAGGAGGTAAAAATCTTCATAATAAGCTTATGTTTTGAAATATTGCATTAAGTTCTTAGTGAGATGCTTAGTGAGTGGTGAAGATTAGAATTAAATAAAAGAAGAAAAAAGGAGTGCTTTTAATATGTAAGTTCCTTAAGAACAAGGCCTCAGTGGTCTCAGCATCACCAGCACCTATCTCAACTCCTAGCATAACTATAATTATTGCTTTCAGAGTAATTGGATTGTATATTGATAAGACTTGAATTCATATCATATAAGTAATGGGAAAGTAACATAAGCTTTGTAGCATAGAGAATAGAAGACAAAGGAGTCAAAAGGAAGCATGATGGATGGAGGAAAGCATAGGATACACTTGCAGTCACTCTGTAGGTTAAGAGAGAGCTACAAAATCTTTATCACTTCCCTCCATCAAGAAGTTGATTGTATCACCTTGAATCTAGGCAAATCTGTCACCACTTTGACTGAGAAAGCAAAGAAAAATGATGCTATGCTGTTCTAGGCCCAGTCTTTCAGAACACTGGCAACTTCCACTTCCTCTTTCTAGGACTCTACCCACAATGTATATGCATAAGCAGCTGCAAGGACAGGCCCACAGGTGGCAGAATTAAGATAACCAGTCAACAAAACAAGCTGATAGCTCCCTGCCAACAGGTGACACCAACTCACCAGCCCATATAAGTGAGCCAATTGAAAGTGGATTCTTACCTTATGAAGCTACCCAGGTGGTACCACATGAAGCAAAACTTTGCCTTCCCCACTGATTTTTGTACAAAATGATTAGTAAGTGAATTGTTGGTACTGTATCAACCTGAAAGTGTCAGGGTGGTTTATTATGTGGCAGGAGAGGGCTGAAGAGCTTTCACATGCATGGCCCATGGGTTAGAATTAGAACCAATATGCAGAATCAGGACTGATACCAATCACTTGTATTTCACTGAGAAGTCTGGAACCTTAATGATAAGACCAGATAGAGAAATCTAAAGAAAGAGCTAGACATGTAAAGGTACAAGATCCCAATGATGAATGTAACTGTGCTGTATACCTAAAATGTGCCAATAAATTCAATGAGAAAAGAAAAATAAAGAAAGAGCTAGAGTTGTGGAACTTCATCTGACTTCAAAGAAACAAGCCAAGGCTCTAGATTAGAGTGCTCAAAGGAGAAGTGGTTACAACAGTTCAAGCTCAGGTGGCATCAGTTCCCAAAGGTTTTTCTATTTGCTGGTAGTTGTGGCAACTCAACTCTCTGAAGGGAGAGCCATACGCGTTGAACAAGATCCCATCCATCCAATGCCTGGCAATAGAGGGACAAACAAAGACTAGAAAGCTTCCCAGTTCACAGTTAAGGTGAGATTCAGAGTGGAAAACCAATCCAAAGGGTACTGGAGTGATCCTCAAATCCAGAGAAAAGCAAAGGCAGAAGGGCTATGCACTCAGGGACGGGTTTTGAACAGTGTAGTTTGGAATGGGATACACCTTAGACCCACTGGACCTCACATGGTTTGGATCCCACCTTTGGGTGGGAATGCAAACCCTAATGCGCCACCTGGCTGGGTTAGGATGAACTCATTACCCAACCAGGTAAAGGATGTCTAAGAGGCCCAGGGATTTAGCTCAGCGGTTTGGTGGCCTGCCTTGCAAACGCAAGAACCCGAGTTCAATCCCCAGTACCAAAAAAAAAAAAAAAAAAAATTGTC